ATATAGCTTAGACTTTTGCAATTTATATGAATTTTAAGATAAATTGTACTTTAAAACGTCATGGTATATGTGTATATGAGTATTTTTAGAGTATGTAAGAGCTGTAGAAAATAATTTAGTAACATTTTTCTTTTTGAATGTCTTGACAAAATCTTAGTGTGAATCATAACGTTCAGAACAGAAAGAATTCAGATTTAAAAGTCTTTCTCAAGTCACAGGCCTCAAGTCCAAGTTGAGTCCCAAGTCTTTGTCCATTTATCAAGTCAAGTCTCAAGTCCTAAAAATTAGTGACTCAAGTCTGACTCAAGTCCAAGTCACGACTTGCACGTCCCCAACTCTGCTAAAATACTAAAAAGATCTTGAAATCCTGCCTGTATATGTTTTAAGTATCTGGCAAACTAGATCTGCTTAAAAACATTACAATTTGTTAAAATGAGTTAAAATTTGAATAAATCCAACTTTAAAGCTCTAAACTCGACTGTTGTAGTCCAGTTGTAGACCTGGTTCTTTTTACAAACAAAGACCAAAACTCAACAAAGACAAAAGAACTTATTCACAACTAAGGCGTTTATGTTATTGAGAACATGATCCAAATCTTGTAATATACTTTTTTTCTTACATTTATATGTTTTAAGGATAAGCTTAAAAACAATATCTATAATATCTCAAAATTAAAGACTTTATTTCCTATTCACCTGCCTTCAACTGACTTGCCGTAATATTATGGATGTAACAATAACCAAAATATCATGATATCGTATCGTCAGAAGTCCTAATATCGTGGATCATCACAATATATCGAATTACAAGTCTCTTTGCTTAAATGAAGAGTTATGACGCAACAAAAGCTCAGAAATCAGAGGGAACTACATAGACCATGATCCTTTGCGCCATTTCAGTGCAGACTACAAGAAGAAAAAACAGTTCTAACACTTTTAAGTCTTAGTTCTCTGGATTAAGTCTTGTCAAGGTGTTTTAAGAGGAAAATATATCACAATAAATATCGTACCGTGAGCTGTACATCGTGAAAATATCATACAGTGAGATCTGGTTATCGTTACGTCCCTACTTAATACCAGATAAATTATAAGGTATAACTTTTTGTGTGTGTTTGATTTTGTTACTACTTGTGCAGAAAGATTTGTTATTTAATTTAAAGTTAATGAGATCTGTTGTTGACGGTTTTATACAATTGCGTCTTTGTTTTAAACGAGGTCATTACGTGTGTCACTGTTACACTTTCACTCATCGCCAAAATTACAGAAATTATGACAAAATAAACAAACACACTAGAGCAGACATGTCAAACTCAGGCCCAGGAGCCAAATTTGACCCACGATATAATTATATTTGGCCCGTGAGATCACATCAAATATGTGTTAGAGCTGCCCGCGGCCACAGATCGACTGGAGACATGATTTATTTAAAATGTTGTTATTATTTTAAATACGTGTTTTGTTCCTTCATTCATTTTTCTAAATAAAAACAAAAATAAGAAAATGAAAAAACAACCATTTTCTTCATCATTTGTCTACAAAACCAAAATGAAAAAAACAGATAATGATTTGTTTTTTTCACTTTTGGATTTTGTGTTTAAATGAAAAATGGAAAAAACGGATAACGGCCATTTCCCGTTTACGTGACTGAAACTGTGACGCTGGACTGAACCAGGTCTGAACCGGGACTAAACCAGGTCTGAACCGGGACTAAACCAGGTCTGAACCGGGACTAAACCAGGTCTGAACCGGGACTAAACCAGGTCTGAACCGGGACTAAACCAGAGTGTTGGGACGGGCTTGGAGGTGTGCCTGCATAGAGTGATCAGGACTGAGATCGGAACCAGACCAGAACTGAGACCGGGACCAGGCCGGGACAAGATCAGGATTGAGACCGAGACTAGACTGGGACCAGATCAGGACTGAGACCGGGAGCAGACCAGGTTTGAGACCAGTTTAGTACTGGTTTAGTCCGTTCTCCGTTTTTCCATTTAAACACAAAATCAGAAACTGAAAAAAACAAAACAAATCATCATCTGTTTTTTTTTTTTCATTTTGGTTTTGGAGACAAATAATGAAGAAAATAGTTGTTTTTTCGTTTTCTTATTTTTGGTTTTATTTTAAAAAACAAATGAACTAATGATACACGGATTATTTTATATTTTGCTTGTTCCGGATTCAATGTTTAAGCAAAACTATTATTAAACATTTATCTTAATAAGAAAAGGTTTAACTTGCACTCAAATGTCTTAGAACACCCTAGTTTTTCCAGTTATTTATTGCAGTTCAAGTCGTGCAAGTCCAATGAAGAGATTGAAATGGTACAAAGGTAAAAACTGAACAGACAGAGGTTAAAAAAAAAGATAAAAGAACAAAACAAAAGTCCAAGATCCGACAAAATGAAGATGGTAAAGCTTGAAAACCTGCAGTGTCCAGCAGCAGCACAGTGTCCAGACTTAAACCCCAAGGAGCTGGTTTGGGATGAACTGGACAGAAGAGTGAAGCGACCTACAAGTGCCACACATTTATGGAAACTTCTGCCACAGACTTGGGAAGAACTTTCTGAACAATATTTGATTTCTATTGTAAAAAAAAAAAAAAGAGCAAACGAAAGAACGAATTCACAAAATCGAAAACTCTGCAGACTAGAGACTCCGATAGATTACACAAAATGGACTCTTGTGAACCGTGTCAGAACGTTCCATCATCACAAACATGCTCGGAGCTGCGTTTTGTTTCATTCCCACATGTCTGAGTAACTCTTTATTATCCGTCTGTGCAGCTCCAAACCTCAAACACGCTCTGGTCCACCTCGTGATGTCATGATGAAGCTGTAGTTTTCAAGTTCTCCTCTAACTTTTTAAACTTTTGCACAGCTGACGTCATCAACATCCCCTGGGCTGTGATCGTCAGACTTTGCCTTTTTTGCTCTTGAAAACTTCACACCGCAGTGATTCTAACAGCAACTAGCATGCTAACAGCGCACTTCCTGAGTCTTTGATATTAAAGAGCTTTATAGGAACGACAACTTTTACTATTTATCTGCACCGGAGCAAAACAAAATGTCATTTATTACATCAAATTATTCAGATACAAGCTCTCGGAAAACCCTGTTCTAGTCCTGGTCTAGTTCTGGTTTAGTCCTGGTTTAGTGCTGGTCTAGTTCTGGTTTAGTCCTGGTTTAGTGCTGGTTTAGCCTTGGTTTAGTTCTGGTTCAGTCCTTTTTAAGTCCTGGTCAAATTCTGGATTATCTCTGGTTAAATCCTGGTCTAGGTCTGGATTATCTCTGATTAAATCCTGGCTAAATCCTGGTTAAGCCCTGGTTAAGCCCTGGTTTAGCCCTGGTTTAGCCCTGGTTTAGCCCTGGTTTAGTCCTGGTTTAGTCCTGGTTTAGTCCTGGTTAAGTATCACCACATGACATCAGTTTGAGAAAAAAACTCAACTTAAAACATGCTAAATTTATGAATTAAACACACAGGAACGAAACAAAACACAACTCCAGGTCTGATTTTGACAACAAAACGACTTTATACAACAAAAAAAAAAAAAAGCGTTATAAATTTAAATTAATCTTTCAAAATACAATTACTACAATCGACTATTAAATATTTGGGTGCAGCCTTTTCATTTTCATGTTTAAGCAAAGAAACAAGCCTTTATCGGAGCATTAAGTGGCAGATTTTACACAGAATACATCTCGATTTTCACAATAAAACAGACAAATCCATAAAATAAGAATAGGCCCAGAGTCAGCACATGCACGTACGTATATATTTCACTTTATCGTAATGGCCTCACAGAGCAGACATTCCCTCTCTGTCCTAATAAACTCGAGCCAAAAGCAGAAGTCCGGGCCTGTCATGTGTCCACGTTTATGCTTTTATTGCTTCGGAAAGCCTTACGATGAGAAAATCTATGTTACAACTCCACAGTTTATAATCATCCAAAAAAAAAAAGCTTAGAGTGTGTAAAACTTGCACTGCTGCACTGCACAACGACAGCCAAACCCAAAACAACAATGAAAAACAGAAATATTTAAAACGATTAGTGTTTAAATGAAAGAAGAAGTGTGTTTTTACGATTGTACGAGTGTAAAATAAATGTAACATTTTGTGTCCACTGTTGGCTTGATCTAAGTCTTGGTCTAGTTCTGGTTTTGCCCTGGTTAAGTCCTTTTTAAGTCCTAGTCTAGTTCTGGTTCAGTCCTGGTTAAGTTGTGGTTAAGTTCTGATCAAGTCCTGGTTAAGTCCCAGTCTAGTTCTGGTTTAGCCCTGGTTTTGTCCTGGTCTAGTCCTGGTTAAGTCCTGGTCTATTCCTGGTCTAGTTCTGGTTAAGTCATGGTTAAGTTCTGGTTTAGTCCTTTTTAAGTCCTAGTCTAATTCTGGTTTTGTCCTGGTCTAGTCCTGGTTAAGTCCTGGTCTATTCCTGGTCTAGTCCTGGTTAAGTCCTGGTCTATTCCTGGCCAAGTTCTGGCTAAGTCCTGGTTTTGCCCTGGTTAAGTTCTGGTTTAGTCCTGATTAAATCCTAGTCTAGTTCTGGTTTAGTTCTGGTTCAGTCCTTGTTAAGTCCTGGTTTAGTCCTTTTTAAGTCCTAGTCTAGTTCTGGTCTAGTCCTGGTCTAGTCCTGGTCTAGTCCTGGTCTAGTCCTGGTTTAGTCCTGGTCTAGTTCTGGTTTAGTTCTGGTTCAGTCCTTGTTAAGTCCTGGTTTAGTCCTTTTTAAGTCCTAGTCTAGTCCTGGTTCCATCCAGGTTAAGTCCTAGTCTAGTCCTGCTCTAGTCATGGTTAAGTCCTGATTAAGTTCTAATCTAGTTCTGGTTTAGTCCTGTTTTAGTCCTGGTTAGTCTTGGTTTAGTCCTTATATACACACTTGTGAGTTTCTGCACAAACCGTGACGTAAAGCGTCTCGTCCGTGCGTAAAAGTGCGTAAAAACGTGAAAAACCGCGTCTATTTTTCTGCACGTTTTTTGTTGTTGTGTGAAATCAGCGGTGCGCCCCAGAATCTCACCCCGGGTTTGACGTCCTCGAACACGGCCGCGTCTTCTGCGCCGCCCGCCCCTCCTCCGGTCATCCTCACCGGCCTGAGCTGCGTGAACACTGCCCTCTCTTCGCTCGACTGCGCTACGTTCATGGCGAGTCCGACTCCCGCGGCCATCGACGAGTCTCCGTGGTCTCTCGAAGCCCGGAAACGCGATTGAAACTCGAATCACGAACGCATAAAACGTGACGATATGTGTTATTTGTTTGTTTGTTTGTTTTTCTTTTTTTTTTTTTTTGCTTCGCCGGAGCTCGAAAAGATTAGTCCACCGTGCAGGGAAGAACTGGTTTGGATACAGGTACGACTCACCTGCGCTTTGTACGCGAGGGAACGGACCAATCAGCGCGCGCGGGGGGCGGGGCTCACCTGCGTAAAGGTAAAACAAGTCTTATCGCCAAACCACGCCAGATAAAGACGCGAACATGGCGCTTGATTGAAATATAAGCACCGGGTTTTGATACACGCGGGCCTATCTCGAGTGTGGGGCACGAAGTTACGTAACGCGGTGAGTAATAGGCCACGGGCTAATAGGCTAGCACGAGGCGTTAGCAGGAAGGTTACGGCTCTGGACAGGTGCAGAAACAGAGTGACCAGACGTCCCCACTGACCCGGGACAGGTCCAGTTTAGAGTCCCGTGTCCCTCGTCCCAGCGGATTTAAACCGGTTTATACAAGAAATGTCCCACGTGTCCGCTGTTTTTGAGCAATTTGAGCTAAACCAGGACTAAACTAGGACTAAACCAGGACTAAACTAGGACTAAACCAAGATTAAACTAAGATTAAACCAGAACTAAACTAAGAATAAAGCAGGACTAAATTAAGACTGAACCAGGTCTAGACCAGGTCTAAACTAAGACTAAACCAGGACTACATCAGGTCTAAAACAGGACTAAATTAAGACTAAACCAGGTCTAGACCAGGTCTAAACTAGGACTAAACCAGGACTAAACTAGGACTGAACCAAGATTAAACTAAGATTAAACCAGAACTAAACTAAGAATAAAGCAGGACTAAATTAAGACTGAACCAGGTCTAGACCAGGTCTAAACTAAGACTAAACCAGGTCTAAACCAGGACTAAACTAAGACTAAACCAGGACTACATCAGGTCTAAACCAGGACTAAAACAGGACTAAATTAAGACTAAATCAGGTCTAAACTAAGACTAAACCAGGAGTAAATGAAGACTTAACCAGGATTAAACCAGGTCTAAACTAGGTCTACATCAGGTCTAAACCAAAGAGGACTAAAACAGGACTAAACGAAGACTAAACCAGGTCTAGACCAGGTCTAAACTAAGACTAAACCAGGTCTAAACCAGGACTAAACTAAGACTAAAACAGGACTAAAACAGGACTAAATTAAGACTAGACCAGGTCTAAAAGAGGACTAAACTAAGACTAAACCAGGTCTAAACCAGGTCTAGACCAGGTCTAAAAGAGGACTAAATTAAGACTAAAGCAGGACTACATCAGTTCTAAACCAGGACTAAACGAACTAAGACTAAACCAGGTCTGTCACCATTTTTGACTAATGGTAAATGGTCACATTTTTCTATAGCGCTTTTCCACCTTCAAGGCACTCAAAGCACTTTACAACAAGGAACCACTCACCCATTCACACACACACATTCACACACCAGTGTACGCAGACACTGTGGGCAAGGTGGGTTAAGTGTCTTGCCCAAGGACACAACGACAGCATTCATCTGTGGGAGCTGGAATCACACCAGCCAACCTGTGGGTCAGTGGATCTGACCGCTCAACCTGTGATGTTTATATTGAGAGCTGGATTCGAACTGCCAACCTTTAGATCAGTGGGCAAATGCTCTACCAACTGAGCTACTGCCGCCCCTAATCTGATCCTTGCCAACAGTAACCAGAGGCATTAATTGTCAGTTTGTTTTTTTTTGGTAAAATACAGAAAACCTGCTTCAAAAAAGATACTGACTCACGTTCGTGTAAAGTCACGAACGCAAATGTGACATGAATAAGTCATGAATGGGCCGAGTGCAGAACAATTTTTCTTCATTACGCACTCGTTTTATAATTTTATTACCAACCCAAACCGGGGGTGTGCCAGGTTTTATTTTGAAAATCTGATTCGCCTTAGTTACAGAAAACAACTATTTATGTACTATAAAAACAAGAGACCCCTGTAAACGGTCTTTTCTGCAAATACAAGTTTCTGTGACACTTGCATTTCTGTGGACAATTAAAGGTAAATCCAATTACAAACTTGTATGAACAATACACTAAATTAGTTAAAGTCCATGTACGCTCAGTTTTCAATACAGTTAGAACCTTCTCCAGTGTAAATAAACAGAGAAGCTTCTTTGTAAAAACTCCTGCTGTTTGGACTTCATGATCCTGAAATCTAGTGTTGTAAAGTCCGCTCTAAGTGTCTGTTTACACGAGAACGCTTGCAGGTAAAAACAACAAAATATTTTATCGGAAGTGCCTTTCGTTTAGACGGTGACGGCGTTTTTGGGGCTTAAAAACGTGAAAATCTGAAACCACCCTCCAGAGTGGAAAAGTTCAATACGCTCTGCCGTAGTGTTTCCGTCTACACTGCCCAAGACACAAAACTCTGGTCAGATCTGCTCAGGTCGTGTACGTGTTTACATCACATACATCACCACCTGGCATGCGTACACAATCAAATTCCACACACTTTTGCGTCACTGTATGCAGCAGATTTCCTCCTGAAAACACTCGTCGCGGAATAAAAATTGAAGATGCGACGCCACTTTTGCATCTTCTGTTCAGACCGTCATCGTAAACATAGCTAAAACAAGACCAAGACCAGTTCAAGACCAGAGTTCTGAGACCGAGACAAGACCAAGACCTTTGAGGGTCAAGACCAAGAGAAGATTGAGACCACGGACCATTGAGTCCAAATGGAGACCAAATCAAGACCAGCTTTGTCATTTCCTACATTTATTTGTACTTCACAGTTATTTTGGCAGAAATACATCAATGATTTTATAAATGTATCTTCATTTGATCTGATTTAAGTCCATTTACACTTAAAATAAACCAAGCAAACTGCGCTGCACTTAAACACTCTGTGCCTCCCACTCACAGTTTGAGAACCTCTTCTTTAATTCCACTTCCACTGGCATTTTACAGAAAACAACTTGAAAGTGAATCAAGTGTTTTTTCAAGTTCATAACATTTACAGTTACATTCTCTTATTAGTTTTGCAGTGATATTTTAGTCAGACTGGCGCCACCTAGTGTTTCCACTCAATTTCATTTCTCTCCGGTGACTAGATCAGGAATCAGAATACACTAGACGTCTGCAAGAACCCCAGAAGTTGTCGACGGCGCACCGACCAATCAGCTGTGAGCTGTGAAGTCATGACGTCAAACTCGTCGTGTCTGTCTGTGTCCCTTTTGTGGAACAGCACAACAGTAAACAAAGTGTCGAGATGGATGTAGACGAAGACAGACAGTCTGTGTTGGCGATGATTCCCGAGATCGAGGATTTAAAGCCGGAACTAGGGATGGGCATTCGATGAAATTTTTTTAATCGATCGTCGGAAGAATTAACGATCAATTATCGATTATCGATTAATCATTAACGTTTTTATATTAAAATGATCATCATTATTATTACTATCTGCACTACTAATCTGCATAAATAAATTCAACTTTACGACATATAAACCATAACGACTCTAGAGCCACATCAGCCCGTTTGACATTATAATGTGTTTAATTCAGTTTTGTTCAACTCTCACAGAAACAAAACTTAAAACCACATCACTAATTTGCATAAACTAAACGAAGATAAAACTCCAGCTCTTGTGTCACTGATGTGGTTCAATTTCTGTCAGATTAACAGACATGACTCAGGTGAATACAGGTCAGTGTGACCAGATTTGTGTTTGTCAAAACCAGGACAGCGTACGGGGGGAGGGGGGCGGGGCCTCGTCATCCACATTGAGCGACTCTCACCTGGTAAAACTTTTTCCCACTGGACACAGAAACATATGTGCTGCTTTATACACTGTGCACATGGACTCACACTTGTCCCGAACGCAACGGAAAGCCTGGAATTTCTTGTACAAATCATCGTTAAATCCACATTTGTGCTTCGGTACGTTGCAGACTGACCCACTGTTTGTGTCTCGCTCCTTCTGATGCAGAGACACATGTACACACCTGTTTGGTCACGATACACACAGAAACATACATTCGGTTTGTCGATTAAAATTAACGTAATCGATGATATTCTTAATGATCAATTATCGATTATTCGACTAATCATGCCCATCCCTAGCCGGAACAAAGAGAATGTTTAATATACCAGTTAGTCCTGTTAGAGGAGCATTACATATGTCACGACCAAACAGCAGCGACTGGTTAAATAAAAAAGTACCCGCCTACCGTCAAGTGAACGAATCCTAATGCTGAGGTCACACAGTTTCTACGAAGTGAAACCATCTGATGAATCGGGCTAATGATATTTAGCCTCTGCACATTCACTGCCCATAATGACATATGATCAGAGTCCAAGACAAGACTGAGTCCAAATGCGCTTGAGTCCAAGACGAGACCAAGACCGCAAAAAGCCGGTCTCAAGGCCAGTCTCGGGACCAAGACCGGTCTCGAGTACTGCGACACTGCTGATCTCAGATAATGGGCTTCTTCCAACTCTCCTGGTCTGGAATCGCTTCTTTCTCGATCACAGTTATGTAAAAATACAGATACTGGAACAAAAAATACTTGAGAAAAAGTAAAAGTGTCACATGGTAAATCTTAAATATTAAAGAACCAGTTTAAAAGTAAAAAGTAAAAGTATTTCACACAGATTTTGAGTTCTTACAGACTTCACATGGATTGTTTTTTATACAGATTTTGACATTTTTATTTGTATATTTTAGTTTTTTCTAATTATGAACGTGTTAAAAATAAACCTCCAACCTTTTCAGCATATCTCAAACAATAACAAAAAATATTTCTACTTTGTATTTCTTCTCAAAAGTGAAGTAAAACCTTTCTATCTTCGCAGAGACCGAATTAGACCAAGTCAGAGGTGAGATCTGTGGAGAGGCGACCCCGCTCACGGTCAGAATGTTGTTTTTCTAGATATTTTTGAGCTGTAAAACCACCTGTGATTGAATCAAAGTAAATCTACACAATCAAATCTCTCAAATTCAGATTTGAGAATTCAGATTTGTTATCATTGCTTTTTTGTTCTAAGAATTGTTTATGGCTCTTTCCAAGTAATTTCACTTGCAAACCAATAAATCTGGTTTACAACGGTTTATCAGAGCAGGCTGCCGTCGTGCCCTTGGGCAGATG